CCTCCTCTGTAATCCGCAAGAATCGAATGTTGCCTTACGACCAACGTTTCGATGCACAGCGTTTTTTTCAGATCTGTGTGCAGCTTGATGAGTGTGCACGACCCTGGTTCAAGTTTGGGCCTCCTGGTTCAGCTCTTTGGACCTGGATTAGATCGGCGCTGCCTCAGCCAGCTTCATCTCACCTGGCAGCACTGCCTGCCTCTCCTTCGCATGCTAGTAGCCTTTGATATGCAGAGATATGAACCGAGCTGTGCAAGTCTAAACCATGGCGCAGATCTAAACCATGACCGACGTTTGGAAGCGCAGCTTCTTTGTCAGATCTGTTTGCAGCTTGATGAGTCTGCACTACGCTGGTTCAAGTTTGGGTCTCCTGGTTCAGCTCTTTGGACCTGGTTTAGATCTGCGCCGCCCCAGCCAGCCTTATCGCACCTGGCAGCACTGTCTGCCTCTCCTTCGCATGCTAGGTAGCCTTTGATATGCAGAGATATGAACCAAGTTGTGCAAGTCTGAACCATGGTTCAGATCTAAACCATGGCTCAGATCTAAACCACGTTTGAGATCAAAACCATGGCTCAGATCTAAACCATGGCTCAGATGAAAACCATGGCTCAGCAGATCTATACCATGGTTCATAACCATGGTGTGCAGCAGATCTGTCTGACTTTTGATTATGATGATGATGGTGATGAAGATGGTGATGATGATGGTGATGATGATGGCGATGATGATGTGATGATGATGGTGATGATGATGGTGATGATGCGGCTGCCGCACATCATTCACTTTAAGAAAATGAGGGGTGATTCCAATTGGGAGGTTTGCGAAAGTGGAAAGTTGAATATTTCTGGAAATGGAAAGTGGGAAGGAGGGAAATGGCCATATACTTTCCAAAGATGGAAAGCTATAAAGAACCTGAACCTTCCAACGACGGAAAATGAGGCCTTGCGCAAAGATTTTTGAAAGAAACGAGCCCCCCTTTTCACAAAAGGTGAGAAAATACATCATCGTTTCGGAATTGGAAAGTGGGAGGAGCCTTTTTCCAAAAGTGGAAAGCGAACCCCTACACAAGAGCACACTGCCAAGTGCACTCTTTCCCACCCAATGACCGAAAGAGAGAGCCTTGCCTAATTTGGCAGGATTTTTCCGATCCACAGTCCGTTGGCCCTAAGTGCGCCGCAGCCCGTCATGGGGCTTGAACCCACAACCTCCTGAATGCCACTTGCGTGCGTAACCAACTGAGATAGGCCGCGGGATAAAGTGAGCAACTTTTGCCTCAGGGTCACATCGAAATTCTTTACCAGATAAAAAAAAAAGAAAATGACGTTCTCTCAGTTGTGCCTTAGGATAATACAGGGGATGGGCTCCGCCTCACAGAGTAGGAATGGAGACCTGCCGGCCCCCCTGAATATGGCTCTTTGTTTTCTATCTTGTTCTGCCTTGGGCACTGGGCCCTTTAAATAATAAATAAAAAAAGAAAAAAAAGAAAGAAATTCTTTACCAGATTAAAAAAAAATCAAAGTTAACAAGCAGCCGCCGCTCAACCTACATCCACGTGGGCGGCCTTGTACGCAAGAGGTTCTGAACAGGGGGAGTTGTAAGAAAGAAGGTAAAAAATTGAATTCAATTTTCCTTGGTTTTCTTTTCTTTTTTTTTCTTTTTTTCACATTTGCGCTCTGATATTCCTGTGACCAGGGTTGCTGGCGTTCGTTACGGGCCGAACGCCCGAACGTACGGGACCCCTTCGGAAGGCGTTCGGCCGAACGCGGACCAAAAAAAAAAAAAAAAAAAAAGAACAGAGTTTTCAAAAAATTCCGAAAAACAAATATGTTATGGAAAAAAATAAACTAAACAACATTTGCCTGGGCTCTACATCCAAATTCTTTACCAAATTTGAATTAAAAATCCAATACAGAAAATAAACACTATGATAAAAATAAGAAAAACTAAAAAGAGAATTAAAATGAGTGAGTGTGCCAGCACCTTTTCGACACCGCCATCTTTGCCGATTTTTAATTATTTTTTGGCATTGACAAATGCCCTGAAAATTTACAGAGACGTAGTTTACATAATCAATAACCCATTAATTTTTTTTCAAAAAATAATAAAATTTTTTAGGCCCCGAAATAATGTGAAAACAAAAAGTTAAAAGTGAAAAAAAACAAAATAGTGAGTGGGCGAGCACGTTTTGACACCCCCATCTTTGACGATTTTTAATGTTTTTTTGGCTTAGCAGAATGACTTCAAAATTTATAGGCGTGTAGGTTACATCATAGAGAACTCACAAAAAAAATTAAGGAAAAAAAACTTACTTTTAGGCCCCGAATTTGTTTTTGGCGGGGGCCGAACCTGGAGGTGTTCGGCCCCCGAACGGGACCCCGAACGCCCGAACGTTCGGGGCCCAGCCCTCGAACGTTCGGTCAGGTAACCCTGCCTGTGACAATATATCAGAACTGAAATATCGGCTTTTTCCTACTAGGAAAAAGCTCTATCGATTAGTCTTTTTGTTATATATTTTTATTTTTATTTTTTATTTTTTTGGCCCGGCCGGGCGAGTGGTCCCGGGCCACTCTGGTAAACTAGAAAAAAAGAGGAAAAAAAAGATTAAGGGAAGACGGGGAAAAAAAAAAGGAAAAAAAAAGGAAAAAAAAAGGGAAAAAAAAGGAAAAAAGAAGGGAAAAAAGAAGGAAAAAAGAAGGAAAAAAAAGGAAAAAAAAAGGGAAAGCTTTGCGGGAACTTGAAATGAATTCTGTTTCAAATGAAAAATGCCGTTCCTTTAAAAAGAAAAAAAAGAAGAAAAAGATGGAAAACCAAAACCAGAAGGGACCGTCGTTCCTCCCTCTTTGATTGCTACGTCACCTGGAGCGGGAGGCATGTGCGAGGATCTGGGTCCTCGGCAGGCCTACCGGGCCTCTTGCTGCAGATTTGCCCGCCCTAAGTGAAGGCGGGCCTGACAAATGACTAGAGACCCTAAGCTGTCAATATCGTATTTGGGTCCAGGCACTTTGGTCGCGCCAGTTGGTTGAGGAAAACACAGGCCGAGCAGCGACACTTTCCACGGCCTTCCAGGCCTTTCCAAAATGATGCAGGTATTTTGCAAAAAATAAAATAAAATAAAAATAAAATAAAATGATGCAGGCCCTGGACGAGAGCCGCAGCCTCATACACAGACAGTTGGGAGGCCCAACCGAATGAGTCCCAGTAGCTGCAAGAGAGGGGACGCATCCTGAGGCCTAGGGGAAGCTTCTGGGCCGAGGCCCAAGCCAGCCAGGCTCTTTCCATATAGGAAAGAGCTCGGGGCCTGGAGGCGCATTCAGGCACTCACATGCTAGCGGCAGCGCTGCTGGAGCGGATGCTCGTGGGCTGCTGCTGGTGCTGAGAGGCGAGGTGCAAGTGCAGTCGTGCAGGGAGTAGGGCGCTGCTGAGGGCAGCGCCATAGCCCAGCCTCCATAGCTGGTTGGGCTTGGAAAAAAACAGTGAGGCGCAGGGGTGGTTTTCGGGTGTACAGAGGGAAGACGTGGGAGTAAGACAGGGGGGAGAGAGAGAAGGATGGTGATGATGATGATGATGTGAGGGCACATACCTGGTAGTGGCGATGGTCTGCTATGGGCGACATCTTCAAGTACTTCGGGGGCTGCTGACGTCAACAGTTGCATCGTCAAGTAGTAGGCAGACTGTAGCTGTGTAGGGAGTAGGTTGGGCTCCGAGCGCCAAGTAGGAGATAGGGCCTGGATACTCATGTTGGTGGTGGCGAGAGCAAGCTCTCATTAACATTGGTTTTCAGTGTTACGATTCTTCATTGGTGTTATATTGGTGCATTTCTGCTTTCTGGACAATGTGATACTATCTGGCCTTGAATGGGATTATGTATGCTGGACATTGTCATCTTGCTATTGCTCGTTTTCCTTGCACATGTCTCACCTTTCTGACTCAGATTCTATTTTTAGTGCCTGTTGGGTTGGTGGGTGTGGATGGCTCTGCCTGGTGAAAAAGCTGTGCTGCTGGGAGTTGAAATGAACTCTGTGCTGCGACTTGTAATGAATGCCGTGCCTTCCCAAAAGAAAAAAACAAAAAAAAAAAAAAGCCAAAGAAAAATGAAAACGGAATGGCGTTCCTCTTTGATTGCTACGCCATTTGAGCGGTGGAAATACAGATTTCATTTCAAGCAAAGAAAAAAGCAAACGGAATGACGTTCCTCCTTGGCTCTGCCTGCGTTTGAATCCAGATGAATGAAATCAAATGATTTCTGCATTACCTGGGGCTCATCAGGACCACAATGATATGATATCTCAAGGCAATCTCTCTTTTTGGAAAAAGTGAGAAAAAGAGGGGGGGGGGGGGGGAAGGGGGGGGGGAATGTTGTTTCGCTGTGAGCTCTGATGGCAAGAGTGAGAACCAAAGCCGGTTAGCAATCGAGGAGATTTGAATTGTCAATCACGAACTGCAGCAGAGTGTATTAGGTTATATGTTCAGATGGACCCCTTTTCTTTTTGTTTTGTTTTTTGGGGCGGATGCGTAGTACTTCCTGTTGGGGGCAGATGCGTCATACTGCAGACAAGAAAGTAGAAGTCCTGCACATGGTATATGTATGCTGTGAATGAGTGTTTTTTGAAATGTAGAGATCTCTACTTGGGTAAGGCTGGAAGAGGTAGATAAGGAGGGGCCCCCATTTTGGCGCCTGCCTGCCTGCCTGCCTGCCTGCTGGCCGGCCGGCCGGCCGGTCGGTTGCTATCAACGTCAAATGAATGATGCTCGGCTATCGGTTGCTAACCGCAAGAGTGAGAATCAGAGTCAGAAAGCTGAGATATGTCTCCCCCTTCAGGTGGTAGGCTTCTTGGATGAGAGAGAGAGAGAGAGAGAGAGAGAGAGAGAGAGAGAGAGAGAGAGAGAGAGAGAGAGAGAGAGAGAGA